AAAAAGAATAATTTGTATTCATCCTTTTTGATGTTAAAAACAAAAGAAGCAGAGGACAGATATAAGAAATACAAAAACAAATTGACATGGATTATAAGAAAACATAAAAAAGAATATTACAGTGACCTATTAACCAAAAGTAATGGCGACACAAAAGCAACATGGGCAGTCATAAACAGTGTTTTTGCAAARCATAAAACAAAATCTGGTATTTCAAATCACTTTTTAAAAGAAAATACAGAAATTCATGATCGGAATGAAATAGCAAACGAATTTAATCATTATTACGTAAATAAATAAGAAATAAAACAATGTTAGCTTACTACCAAGTTTACTTACATCTGGAGTGCTTTTTATGCAGGCGTAGATCATACGACATAAAGGAGTTGGGCTTATGGGTGCAAAGTTGTTTTTGGGTAAAAAATGTTACAGAAATTATTAAATACATCTGTTTTCTGAGATGAGTTTGATATAAAAAGGTATTGAAAGCACAAATACAAGGTACACAGTTTTTGACATGCTTTATTAATTAGTGAAACAAGTACTTTGGCAGCTCAGATCTTTACAAACATTTGCTAAATGGCACACTGAGCTGTTAAACATTAGTTTAACATGCAAATTAGATACAATTTCATATAAAATGGTTTTGAATATGAGCCTTCTGTTAAAATACATAAATTTAAGCAGCTTTGTTTTGTTTTCTCTATTGCAGGCGGACCTGAGTGACTTAGACCTGGAAACTTTGGCTCCTTACATCCCGATGGACGGCGAGGACTTCCAGCTCACTCCCATCATCCCGGAGCCAGAACCCCTGGAGGTGGCTCAGGGCGGATCCATGGGGAGTATCAACAACCTGAACATCAAGCAGAGCTTCAACAACATCGCCAATCTCTTCCAACCGCTGACCTCTCCTCATCAGCAACAGAACTGCGTCCAGTCTCAGCCTGAAGCATCCTGGGCCACCGGACAGAGGAGAAGCTCCAACCAGGGGCCCGTGGACACACGAGGACTGTCACATGTGTTGGGCCACATGCAAAATCCCTCATACCAACCACCAGGCAGTACACCTTTGTCTTCAATGCAGTGGCCTCCAGATCCTTTAATAACCTATCAGCAACGGCAACAAAAACAGCCTCCAAAGACCTACATGATGGATAATTTATCAGGAGAGGAGCATCCATCCTGTCAACAGAACATGTCACACTTGTTGCAGAAACAGAGGTAACAACATTTTTAAAGCTTTCAATTGTTTGAAATGATTAAAAAAAATTACCATTACCTATTTTTTTTGCTTTATGTTGATTTGTTCTGACAAATATGGTATTTGTGTTTTGTGTAGGTCTATTGATAATTTTATTCACGCTTGCAAAGACATGAGTCCAGCCAGAGTGGCTATGGCCAACAGCATTAAGCGCTCCTTCAACCAGATTACTGAGGTTAGTTTCTTCTATCACAGGGGTTCTTAACCTTTTTGACCTCAGGGCCCAATTTGTTGAACATAAAGTGGCACGAGGCCCAGTCAGACATTACCAATGTATGGATCGAAATGATAATTATTCTAAACTAAATCTTGGTTTAATTTATATTGTATTTACATCATAACTAAACTATCATAACTAACATAACTAAATTAAATACACTTACAGTTTAAAAGTAAAACTCCTGTCAAATAATCACAAGACATGATTATGACAAACATTTTTATATCGTAAGCTGTCCATAACAATTATTTGAACAAATACAACGTTCAGTCAACAGACCACTCAGGCTTATCAACAC